AGGCCCATATCCAACCACCCTTTATTTCTAAAATTCTTGACAAAGTTGTTGCAGCCAATTATGTGATTATCTGCGCAGAAATGGTTTGTCTGAAGTGTTTCAGTCAGGTTTTAGAATGCATCATAGTACAGAGAAAGCACTGGTGAAGGTCACTAATGATCTTATAGCTTCAGACAGTGGACTAGTTTCTATACTGGTTCTGCTGGATCTCAGTGCTGCATCTGATCCAGTGGATCACAGCATCTTATTACAGAGACTGGAATGTTTAATTAGGCTTAAAGGAACTGCACTAAAGACAGACAGATTCCAGCTTGTTCATGCTAATGATGATTCTTCCACCCGCAGTAGAGTTAGTTATGGAGTTCCACAGGGCTCTGTGTTAGGACCTATATTATTTACCTTGTACATGCTCCCCTTAGGCAATATTATTATGAAGCACTGCATAAATGTCCACTGTTATGCAGACGACACTCAGTTATATTTATCTGTGAAGTCAAATGAAACCAATCAGTTGGTCAGACTCCAGGCATGTCTGAAGGACATAAAGGCCTCTAGTTCTACTGTAAAGAACTTTGGAGTAATTTTTACCAGGACATGTCGTTCAATAGCCATATAAAACAAGTTTGTAGGACAGCCTTCTTTCATCTATGTAATATTGTAAAAATCAGGAACATCCTGTCTCAGAGTGATGCTGAGAAACTAGTCCATGCATTTATTACTTCTAGACTTGACTATTGTAATTCCTTATTATCAGGATGTCTCAATAACTCTCTTAAAAACCTTCCGCTGATCTAAAATGCTGCAGCAAGGTTCTGACAGGAACCAGTAACAGAGATCATATTTCTTCCGTATTAGCTTCTCTTTATTGGCTTCCTGTAAAATCCAGGATAGAATTTAAAATCCTGCTTATAACATATTAAACTCTCAATGACTAGCTCCATCTCACCTTAAAGACCTTGTTGTACCGTATCATCCTAACAGAGCCCTTCACTCTCAGACTGCAGGTCTGCTTGTGGTTGCAGAGTTTCCAGAAGCAAAATGGAAGGCAGAGCCTTTGGTTATCAGCTCCTCTCTTATGGAATCAGCTCCCAGTTTGGGTTCTGGAGGCAGACACCCTCTCTACTTTTAAGATTAGGCTTAAAACTCTCCTCTTTGATAAAGCTGATAGTTAGATCTGCTCAGGATCACCTGAACTGTCCCTTAGTTATGCTGCTATAATTTTAGACTCCCGGGGAGTCCCATGCACTATCTACAGGACAGTCAACTTCTTCATCCACACCAGTTTGGTTTCAGACCAGGCTACTCAACAGAAACAGCAAACTGTTGCCGCATTGAAAATATTAAACAGAGCCTGAATGGGGGTAATGTTATGGGAGCTGTTTTTCTTGACCTCAAAAAAGCATTTGATACTGTCAATCATACTTTGCTTTCATCCAAATTAATCTCTTTTGGTTTTTCCTCTGATACAATAGATTAGTTCACATCATATTTGCAGAACAGAGAACATTGTGTCAAAGATCACCAGAACAAATCAATGTTTTTAAATACCCACATGGGCATCCCACAAAGGTCCATTCTTGGTCCCTTATTGTTCATCCTTTTCATTAATGACCTGCCGATAAACTGCTCCACTGCAGCATGTCAACTTTATGCAGATGATGCAGTTGTATATACGGCCCCAAGACACCAGCACAGGCTGCGGACATCCCATCTTCATGTATGGTTAATGTCCAAGAGTGACTTGTTCAAAATCGCCTCGTAACTGGAAAAAACTGTGTCTATGTGTTTCTCAGTTCTCAAACCAACAACATTTTAAAGTTAACATACAAAACCAAGAAATTCGTTCAGTGACAGAATTCAAGTCCCTTGGGGTTGTCTTAGACCCTCAACTTAAATTTAATCTCCATGTAAAGAAGATTTCATAAACAGTCAAAAAAAAATTTTTTTAAACAAACAGTTTTTTGAGTTTTGACAACTTCATCGATCTTTACTTTCTCAAATTAATGTTTCAATGCCTCAATAAATCAGCGCCACAGCCACTCTGTGGATTCATCCATAGACAGAATGGCAGCAGGGTCACCAGAAGTTCCACCAAGAACAACTGCAAAATAACTTACTGCAGAACTACATTTGGTCAGACAGCCTTTTCAATCAAAGGCTGTCACATCTGGAACACATTACCAAATGAAATTAGCTTATTAGCAGACTTAAAAACTTTCACAGCAAAAGTTAAGAACTGGCTGAAAGAAAAACAAGAATGCACCCACCTATGACATGCATAAGGTCAGACTGACTGGGGGTTGTGCCGTTTTGTGTCTGTGTATGTGTGTGTGGGCAGGTGGTTGGGGGATTATATGTTTATAATGTAGTCTGTGCTGTTTTTATTGGTGTTGTTGGACTTT